GGCCAGGCCAGGCCGGAGCCAGCCTCCACAGCAGCTCAAGGGCAGGGTCTGGGACTTATCCAGACCTGTCCAAAAATAGAAAACTATAGCCCTGACCAGACCCTGACTAGCCCCTGACTAACCCCAGTCAATTAGAACTTGCTAATACAATTATCATTTGCTTAAGCCAATCATATCGAAAATGACCTAACTTCCTTAGACACTCCCCTCAGTAAGGCTTAAAAGAAGGACCCACCTCCTCCTTGGGGTCATTGCCATCTTGACTTTGTGTAGGGTGGTCAGCCCCAGTGTGTTGGAATAACATAAAAAGACTCTGCTTTTGCATTGGATCTGGTCTTTTGGTGGTCTTTGGGGATTTAGACTCAGGCTTATACCTGGACTAGTGTGTGTGTGTGGAGAGAGAGAGAGAGAGAGAGAGAGAGAGAGAGAGAGAGAGAGAGAGAGAGAGAGAGAGAGAGAGAGAGAGAGAGAGAGAGAATGTATAAGGGGGAGAGAGTGTTTCATGTGTGCGAATGTGTATGTGTTTGTATGGTTATATATGAAAATGTTTTATGTAAGTATGTACATTTTCTCGACTGTTTATGTATGTGCAAAAGCATATCATTGGCAGTCCATTGATTATAATCCCCTTGAAATTCTTCAGACGCTTTGCTCCTTGTTACTTTGGTATCTTTACCATGGATTCCAGGATGGAAACATTTGTAGACAGACTGCCTGCCATTGTCCCCTAATGTCCCCCAGCTGGCCAGATAATAGCAAGTTTGGAGGAAACTGGGACTAGATTCCCTCCTTCAGAATCAGCAGACAGAGAGACAGACAGACCACATACATACACAGCATGCCTTTTGAGTCCCAGCTCACAGAGATAGATGGGGCTAACACATGATAATGTTACTGGTGTATTAGGACAAACAGTCCAGGTTTAGGAGTCATAATAAGTGAACCAAGGAGATGCAGTCATGGTGAAACACAGAAATGGAGGTTTAAATCAAAGTAGGCTTACTGGGGAGAGGAACAGAAAAGGGGTTCCAGTGACCTCAAGTTCCTCTTGAAGGGACTGAAATGAACCCTGTTGAAACAGAGGACAAGGGATCCACGTAGTTTGTCAGTTCTGGTCTAGAAGAAGATGGTTGATCTTTATCTCCAGTCTGCTTCTGAAAGTTGCCTCAAGAAAGTCCTCATGGCTTTAGACACGTAGCATCTGTTTCTTCTGCGACTGTTTCAGCTCCAGGTGCAGCCTTGAACCCAGAGAGAACTGAGTGCTCTGTCTTCTGAGGCTCAAGATCGGTTGGGGGTGTTTTTTGTCACTTGTCATAAAGATGTTTATCTATCTTGCTCCTGGAATCCAAGGTAACAGCAGGCTTGAGATAGTGACTAAAGGCCCTCAGGGACCTTTTGGAGTTCTAGAGCAGGACATCCCAAAAGGCTGACAGCAAGTTCCTGCAGTGATACAGCTGGAGACCTCCGCCATGAAGTGCTCCTGTATTCTGTTTCATTGACTCCCTACTATTTGAATACCTGGGGCTAACCAATTGCACCACTTGATCTCCTGAAGTCTCTACTGTGTAGAGGATCTGTGCTCCTCTGTGTGGTTGATGGGAAGGTTTTTATTGTAGATATGAGAAAGAGAACAGCCAGAGGTATCCAGAAGAGCCCAGACGGAGAAGAAAATAGTATACTGAACGTGGACACCAGACCTGACCTAGCCACAAAAGAAGCAGGAGCGGAGCAGAGAGGTAGAGAGAGGGAGAGTGCAGGAGAGCAGAGAGGGAGCTGAGGAGAGAGAAAGAAAGAGGAAGACAGAGTGAATGTGTGCATAAGAGAGAACACAGCTGAAAAACCAGGGTTTAGGGAGACTAAGCAAGTAGCTGGGGTGAGGGAAGCTCCTGAGCTGCGGGGAACTTAGGGCAAGGGGGGAGAGAAAAAGAGCTAAGAACATTCAGGATGCCAGCCTGGACTTTGAAATGTGATACTGAGGGAGCCTGGAGGCCAGTGTGCATTTTGGCATACTAATAGGTACCACAGCCATTTGTCCCTGCTGCCTTTTGGAATTTGGGGAAATGAAATTTCCTTTGGACCTGACAGCAATAATATCTTTGGTTCAGCCGGAGTGACTACTGCCTCCTGCTTTTATGTCTTATTTTGGGGTGTCTCTTTGTCAGTTCCTCACACAGATAACTCCACGTTGGCCATAAACAAGGCCAGAGACCATCACTTGCAGGAAGAGCAAGAGGGTCAGTCTAGAAAGCCAGGTCTGTTCTGAAGTATAGGTTCAGCCTCCTCTTGGGGAATAGGGAGGCCTGTAGAGCCCAGGCTCTAGCCCTCTTCCCATGCCCACTCCTTAGACAGCTAGTCAGGGGCGCTTGTGTTACAGAGTATAGAGATGAGATGCCCTGTGGTCAAATGTGAAGTTCTCAGTGAGGGGACCACATTTATTAATATTTGCTTAGAGGCCAGCTGTGTGCTCACTGTGTGATATTAAGCTGGGGAAGAAGCTTGTATGGCTTCCTGTGAGTATGGCTATGGTGGTGAGGCCAGATGGAGACCTCAGACTGCTCAGCCTCTCAGGCAGGAAGATAGAAGCTGAACTGGTCCATCCGCAGATCACTGTCATAGACCACAGTCACAGACCACTGTCGAGAGCAGCAGCTATCAGAGTACAGAGGAAACACAATGTCGGAGAGGTAGGAGATGGGACTGTGTGATCAAGCTGTGCCACTGCACCCTAGTCCCTGTGTGGATCACTGCTTTCATGTTGTGTCTTGCTTTGGGTTACTACCTTTTAGAAAGCATGGTTGGATCCATGTCAGTTGCAGCAACTGAGACAGAATGACTCTGTCCTGTCTGTGTACATGGATACCACATTGTTTCTGGATCACATGCTAATCTTCCCTCAGCTCCATCATGTTATCCCTGCACTTGGGAGATAGAGGCAGGTAAATCAGAGGTTCAAGATCATACCCAGCTACAAAGCACATTCAAGTTATCCTTGACTTCGTGAGTCCCTGTATACACTCACACACACACACACACACACACACACACACACACACACACACAGGTGGGGGATGAGGTGGAAAATGACAGATACAGAGAGAGAGAGAGAGAGAGAGAGAGAGAGAGAGAGAGAGAGAGAGAGAGAGAGAGAAGGAGAGAGACACAGAAGCACAGAGAGACAGAGAAACAGTGAGAGACAGAAATCTGAAAACAAAAGAAAAGCTAAAAAAAAAACCAACTAGCCAAAAAATCCTGAGAAATTATTAGAGAAGATACAGTATTCTATCCTTAATTATTCTGTAAGACTTGTAAGACTGAAAACCATTACTAAGGATTGTCAGGATCAACAATGGGGGTAGTGTGGCAGGAGACAGAGACTGGGGCTCAGTTCACAGTACAGCGTGGAATCTATGGCCGAAGAGCAGTTGTGTGATGGTAGTGAAAAATTACTGGGAGCTAGCAGATATTGAAGGGGGGCTAGTTAGCTAACAAACATTCTTGCAAAACCTAGATTTTACAGGCGGGCAACAATGGGAACAAGAGGCAGTAGATCAGAGTTTGAGGCTATTCTAGTCTATATAATGAGACTTTATTTCAAAACAAAGCAACAAAAATATGGATTTTTACCAGGAAGTACATAGACAAGTTTGGAAGACTGGCTGGAGTTGGAACCAGCAGAGAATCTCCATCAGGTGCCATCCCTATGGAGGGGGATTCCAAACTAACTGAAAGACCCCAGTCTTGGTCATTGTACACCAATTGTCTTTTAGGAATTTAGATCTATTCCAAGATATTTCTCCTTCTGAGGACTCTCTTAATTAGAATGCACATATTGACACCCACTTGGATGACTGTGTAAGGCAACATTGATGGGAGCTTGGCTAGATGTTGAAATGATCTAAAATGTAGACATCAATCAAAATGCACACAAAGGAATTTTCGGAAGCCAGGAAAGGAAGTATGAGAATTCTGCGCAGTATTTTAGAGAGATCACCGTAACATTTTAAATAGCAGCTTGTAGATTTGTGGTGGAGAACGGAGAGGATGCTACCCTTTGATGATAAGTGGGAAATTAGAGCTACACCGAGAATCCTAATAGCCACACGTACGTAGACTATACACACTGTAGTGGTGCAAAGCACAGGCTGGAAGAGTAAGCCAAAAGCAATACGGCTGCAGTGAAAAACGTGGAAAGCCTAAAGGGAGTGGAATATTGGGAGCATTCCTTTATGTTTTCAAACATCAAGAGTGAAATCTCGCAGCTGCGGCGGCAGCCTGGTTTGCTACTGACATTTAGAGGGGTCAGGATGCTGCTAAATATTCTATAAGGTGTGACAGCCTTCACAGCTAGGACACATCTAACTCAAATGTTAGTAAGGTCATTGTGAGGGTGAAGGAGGCAGAAAAGAATCTGAGGTTTCCAGAACTGACCAGTCTTTTAAACCTGGCCAGCATTCTCCCCACCAGGTCATCTTACTCTCGGGGAGAGATAGGAGATGCCAATTCATTGCCATTTATGTGAAATGTCAATCCCTGAGGGCTTGAATAGTTTTGGACACAGCACTGACCACGGTGGCTTCTATTGTTTTTTGTTTTGTTTTGTTTTGGTACATGCTAGGCAGTCATTTGACCTCTTGCCATAATCCTAAAAGTCTCTTCCCACTTTAAAGATTCCTGTCTAAAAATTACTGTCTAATTTGTTCCCATTAAAAGCTTGCACCAGTGGACATCCTCCTAAAAGCTCTGTCCTGTCTTGGTTCAATTCCTTGGTTTTCTGGAGGTTTTATGTATAGTCAGAGCATACTAGGACTATACATAAAATCTAGGACTCCCTGGTCTCACTAGACCCACCTAAAGCTGACAGACTGGAGATTATGAGCAAAGAACAGAGCCATCTCTCTTCACCCTCCTGCTTTTCCTTCTCACCTCGACAGCCCACTGCCAACACATCTGTGGCCTCACCTTCCCCTGGGAACTTCCTGACTCAAACCTCCCTGCCCTGCGGTTATTTGAGGCCAGGGCTCTGGTTCTTCCTCCTCTCAATTCAGCTCACTGTGGGCCTTGAACCTAGGATTCCCGGTAAGCTCTGCTGAGGTCTGGCTGTGGGACAGGGTGCTGGGGGTGCCGGATGTGGATGTGGGGGAACAGGTCTGGAGCCAGGAGTGAACCCTGAGGTCCCTGCTCGTGTTGCTCTGCAGCATGGCAGCCTGGCAGCCACAGAGGTCCTGTGACACCCATCAGAATCCTGGAGGAGTGGGAACCAAGAGGGATCTAGGAATCTGCCCAGGGCAGGAGGATCTGCTACCCTGGTGGCCTCTAATGGGCCACTGTGCTCTAGTTTCAGAGAAGGCTGGGCTGTTCTCAGGTTGCCCAGCCCCTCAGCATGTGTAAACTCACAGGCTTGAGAAAAGTGATACCCTGAGGACAGTTCTAGATTTTTTTATTTTTAGTTAAACTCATGTCGGGAAAATGTTGCAAGATTCAATGTCTGCAGGACTAGGACATAGGCAAAGTTTTGATAAGGTTTCTGTACCAGATGAAATTGTGTGTTCCTTTTCCCTTCTGTCCTCTTTGATGGACCCCAGCCTTGTTCTACTGAACATTTGCTCAAGCCCCCCGACCCCACCCCACTCCACTCCAGCCATAGGCTTGCTATTCCTGTGTCCTGGATCTGTTTTGATAATTAGAAGTATGGAAATCTAGCATTAACGTAGTGTCAGGAAGCTGGGTGAGGTTTGGCTCTTCTGCACTGCTTTCAGAGTGCATGGGAACCAGCTGCTTGTGTTAGCATTGGTTAGGCCTGTGGTGTGGGGGCTGACTAGCAAGTAACTTTTGATTTTAGATCTTAGGAGCAGTGTTGGGTCTCAGCAATAAGCGTGTGGTACAGGACAGGCTAGTGGGAGTATCTGAGTACTACCCCTAGTAACAGCATCCGCCGTGGCTTCTGTCACCACCAGAAAGGAGTGTCTGGTTCACACTTGGCTCCTTAAATCAAGTTCCCTTGCCACCCCACCCCTACCCCTGTCTGCTTCAACAGGACTTAACAGATAGAAACCAATAGCAGATGGAAACTATTCAGGAAGGAGTCATGTATGGTGCCATTGATCCCAGGCTGAGGCAGGAAGATAGGAGTTGGAGATCAGTCTGGGGGGAGGGTACGGTCTACTCAATTCAAACATGGGTAGACTGTTTTTCCTTTTCTTCTTCTCTAAACAGTAAGGTATACAGGCATCACTGATATGGCATTTATAATGTATTGGGTAATGTAGGCTATGGTCAGACAATTTCAGGAGTAAGAAAATATGTTTATTGGTTATATCAAATACTATGCTATTTCTTAATTAATATGTTTTGTATATCATATGCTTGCTTGAGTGGGTACATGTGGGGGAGGGCTTTTTATGTGTACACATGTATGTGAGGCTCAAGGTTGATGTCTGGCATCTTCTTTATTATGCTTTCCCCACTGTATACTTCCAGGCAGGGTCTCTTAGTGAGCATGGGGCTGGCTATCTGGGCTATTCTGGCAGCTAACTTGCTCAGAGGATTCACTGTCTCTTCCTCCAGTGGGTGGGATTACAGAGGATGCTGCATATGCCTTGGTTTTACATGATTCTTGGGATCCAAGCTCCTGTCCTCCTGCTTGAGAGGCAAGCATTTTACCCTCTGACGGTCTGCCCCGACTACTATGCTAATATAAAGGATTGAGCACCTGAGGATTTTGTATCTCCAGATTTCAGCTAATGGTCTTCATATACCAAGGAATGACTATTTAAGTTTATACCAGGTCTATTCCACTCGAAAGCATCCTGCTACAGTTCAGTGAATCATAGCTACCTCATTGCAGAAACAGCAGATGAAATCAGTGCAGAGGTTGGAATCAATAGTTTTTAATATACTGAAATAAGGCAGGTGGTAGTTATGGTTCGTGAAGTTGGCCCACTAGGAAACAAAACCCTGATGGGTGATTCTCAGGTAGGCAAGGTCCCTGACCCCAGAGGTTTCTTGCTACTGCTGCGTATTTGCATGTCTGTCAATACCATTTTCCCCTGGCATCTGGCATACTACCCTTAATGTAATCTTGGAAATATCCTGTTCTACTGGGCATTTTTAACTGTGGATTATTATGAAGATGATTTCTTCCTAAACTGTACTGTTTAACCGAAGCCATGATTTTATATAATAATAGTGTCAGTTTAAATAGGACTTTAATGATTGACTCCTTGTTCTCAGAAAGCCAGGCTTAAACTAACAGAGGAGGAGACCATTTTCAGTCAACAGAGCAAGGTCAGCACAAGAGAGGAGTGAACAGGACATGGACAGGACAGACTTGCAGATGTTTGGAGTGAGCAGGTTGTTGGAAGAAGTTTCACAGTGTCAGTAGACGAGAGAATTGCTCAGAAGGGGCTACAGGTGCAGTCTTTGAGGAACAAGTCCCTCAGAGTCAGGGGTGAATGCAGGACAAGGGAAGGAGAGGAGAGGATCTAGGGTCAACTGTCATCAGACCTTTCAACAGTAAAACTGATGGCTGCAAACAGTTAAGTAAATGCTCCAAGATTCAAATGTAATAATAGCACCCAGTGTATTAGAGACCTTCCCAAAGTCTCTATGGAATGGAAGGACAATGATCATATTGAAAAAACAATAAATCAAATTAACTGACTAGACAGCATATGATATCAGAATGAGGGAGCAAAGCAGGAAGCAGAAAGCTCTTTGGGCCCAGAACAGATGATACTAGTGAAGGGGTATGAGTTGTACAGCATCCAAAATGGAGTCCTGTGGATAATGTGGTCCATGGACACCAGTTGGTGTAACAGATTTGCATAATGAAACAGAAGAACAGTGTGCTGAGCCCAGGTGAATACCTCCAAGTGCTAGTGTGTCTCAGAAGAGTCAAGTGTGAGGGAACTCTCAAGAAGGCCTTTACTGCGTGGTCCATTTGGGTTGTGAAGGGAAGTGTGTGTCTCAGCTTGTTGCTGATGTGCCCAATAGCAGCAGCTGGGTTTTTCACTCAGTTCTCTCTCTCCAGCTTCACTCACAACTCTTGTATTAAACCAGGAGATGAACAGTATTATGTCCCTGAACTAGAGATGTTCAGCATAGCATGTAAGGCCCTTTTGTTGTCACAAAGCCAGAATATTTAAGAGCAAAAGCTCAAGGCAAAGTAACCAGCTTAAAGGTCACTAACTAAAAAGGGACAGTTCTGAGCATCAAGAAAAAAAAACAAAGCCAAAGTACCATTTAGCTGAAATACTTTGTAAAGGTCATGAGTGTGTACATTCAAGGGTTGAGACCTCAATCCATACCTTCAGCACCCGTGTCAATCTGACAACAGCTCTGACAGCCTGTTTGCTCTCTGTGTCTCTCCCCATGCCCTGGAGCTGGTTCCCTTCCTTTGGTGGTAGACACTTGCTTTCCTCTTTTCTTGTTCTACTTGTTCTCACACACTATTCAGGGGAGTCATTGGCAGCCTCTTAGAATGCTAAGGCTATTAGGCTGCAGACACAGGAGTCTGGTCTGTATTTGTGGGTGGTGTCAGAGCAGACAGGCCCTGCTCCTGCAGCCCCATGCTTCCAGCCTCCTCTGCTGCATTTGTAGATTTGCAGGTCGATGCCTCTACTGCTGCCTCTTGTCCTGTCACCTGACTCCTGGCTCTTCCTGTAAGTAATGATTTCTTGTACAGTAGAAAGATAAGGCACTGGCCCTCGGTTAGCCTGTCTGTTCCCAGCAGGGCTGGATCATTTAATGTATGTGACCTTTACCTTTTGTGCTATGTGGGCATTGTTTACTGAGTGAAGATGAGCCTTCGTTTACACGATATTGGTCTTAATTTTTTATTCCAGGCTGGCTATCATGGATCCTCTGCTGGAAGCAAATGGTACCTTTGCCTTAAAACTTTTGAAAATCCTGGGTGAAGACAGCTCAAAAAACGTATTTTTCTCACCCATGAGCATCTCCTCAGCCCTGGCCATGGTCTTCATGGGGGCAAAGGGCAACACTGCAAGCCAGATGATTCAGGTAACCAGCACCGTTTCACAGTACCTAAGTAACATCGACAGTCAGCTGAGCTGGTCCAAATCTCAAAGTGACTGCTCTTGATGAACAGCTGCTGGTGACTTTGGAGTGTAGGTGTATATGGTGGCAAGTGTCTGCTACCCCCTGCTGGGACACTGGTGTGAGCGCCTTGTCCCATTTGTGCTGGTGGGGTAGATATCAGTGTTAATGGCAAGGTTGGAGAACGCCTGGACCAGGAACACCAAAGTTTCAGCACCAAGTCCACTCTTTACCCCATTATCTGTTCTCTGGCTGCTCACGGGCTCAGTCTTCCTCCAAGCAAAGTACGATGGGATGATCCTATCTAGGACCCTGAAGTTTCTTCCCACACTGGGACAAGTGGGGAGTCCAGTAACAGAACCAACTGCGGCTCCTCCTGGGTACAGTGCTTTAGGTGCAGAGGTATGTGAGTCACAGAGACAACCTACCCATAATAACATGGGAAAAGAGTGAGGGATGAGTGCATTGCACACTTTCTTCAGAAATGGGGATGGGGCATGTGTTAATTAGGTACATCTGTGTAACAAACAGTACTGGCTGGGTGGTTTAAATAATACAGTTTTATTTTTAGTGTTCTACAGGCTGAAGTCTAAAACCAAGAGGTTGACATTTTGGTTTTCCATGCTTTTTAGATAACAGCTACTCTTTGCATTCTCACTGTGTGTTTCCTGTTTGCTGTGATCTGACCTCCTGTCTTATCATTGACACTCATCAGATTGGAGTAAAGTTCACCCTTATGACCTCCTTTTTAACTTTACTATTTATTCCCTATCAGCCTAGACAGATACCAAATGTCACAGGGGCAATATCTCATATGTCTTATCACCACAAACAATTACTTCTGCCCATAGACCCTACACCACAGGCCCTGTTCTCCAGACCCCAGAAATCATTACTTCCTTCTCCTTCCTGCCTTGCCAGCTGTTAAGTCTAAAGTCAATACCATGGATTAGACATCTGAATTGCTGTGTGTCTCATCATTTATTTTATTTTATTATTTTGGTTTTACAAGACAGGGTTTCTCTGTATTGTTTTGGAGGTTGTCGGTCCAGCCCAGCCTCGAACTCACAGAGATCTGCCTGCCTCTGCCTCCCGAGTGCTGGGATTAAAGGCATGTGCCACCACCGCCCAGCATTCATCATTTTTTTAGAACAAGCCATCCTGATATGCATTAGTTGGAAACAATGCTGACAATGTTTCTCAGAATCTTGGGTCCCACGAGTTCCTTTGCTGGTTGTGAAACCAGACCACCTGTGGTCACTGACCTATTTTTGCATGGTTGGCAGATCCAGTGAAACTGATCTCATGTCCGAGGTGGCAGCTGTTGGCTAGGGCTTGGTTCTCTTCCAAGTCCCTTTGTGTGGTAGTGCTGACTCCAGAAGTTTCCATGTTGCCAGCAGCAGGCGAGCTTGGTCTTCCTTCCATGAGGTTGGTGGACACAGATATGGCACTGGGTCTTTGTAGGACCAAGCCTGGAATAGTATTACTTCTGAATACTGTTAGCCAGTGTCTTAGTTAGGGTTACCATTGCTATGATAGAACACCATGACCAAGAGTAACTTGGAGAGGAAAGGGTTTATTTCTGCTCACAGTTCCACATAAGAGTTCATTATCAAAAACAGGAACTCACAGAGGACAGGAACCTGGAGGCAGAAGTTGGTGCAGAGACCATGGAGGAGTGCTGCTCACTGGCTTGCTATACATGACTTGTCAAACCAGCTTGCTTATACAACCGGGGACCACTAGCCCAGGGATGGCACTACCTACAATACCCTTTCACATAAATCGCTAAGAAAATGCCCTACAAGCTTGCCTACAGCCCAACTTTATGGAAGCATTTCTTTTGAGACAGAGTTTCTCTGTGCTGCCCTGGCTGTCCTGGAACTCACTCTATAGATCAGACTGGCCTCAAACTCTTAGAGAGCCACCTTCCTCTGCCTCCCAAGTGCTGGGATTAAAGGTATACCCCATCACTGCCTAGTTTGGAGACATTTTCTTAACTGAGTTATCTCCTTTCCGGTGTCTTTACCTGTGTCAAGCTGACATAAAACTATCTATCACAGCCAGGCAGTGGCAGAGCCTGCCCAGCCCCCCAAGGGCAGAGGAAAGACCACGAGGTCTAAGGTTAGGAGCTGTCTGCTTTGAGCTAGTGGAGATTGGGTTGGAGCCATGGTTTTAATCAGATAATAGGTACTAAGCATGAAGAGCTAAGGGTTTTGGAGGTCTATTTCTGCTCAGTCCCGGACTGACATGGTCACAGAAAGGACACTACAGAGGGAACTTTCAAAACAACTTTGTCTTTTTAGGCAATTATTTGAGTGGCAGCAGGGATCTGTAAAACTCTGAGGATGAGCTTATTGTTGGCCCATTTCCTAAAGCTTTACTTACTGGAATTCTGTTTTTAATCTGTTTTGATTTCAGGCACTCTCTTTGGATAAATGCAGCAGCAATGGAGGTGGCAATGTCCACCAGGGCTTCCAGTCACTTCTCACCGAAGTGAACAAGACTGGCACACAGTACCTGCTCAGAACAGCCAACAGGCTCTTTGGTGAAAAGACTCTTGATATTCTAGCAGTAAGTCTTTCCAGTTCTCATGAAGCAAAGTGAGAGAGGAATTATGTGATACAGCACGGAGTGTGTAAGCTGGAAGTTCTCCCAACTATGTGGGTACTAGTGCAATTCTTGTATCTGTCCATGTGCACTTGTATTGTTTTGAATTGTACAGAATACAAATTAAGTCAGCAAAGCATGAGCCCTCCTCAACCTGTTTCCCAGTCTCCATGTCACCCAGGATAAGAGGGTATATAGAGTTGATATTTATCTTCCTGCAAATACAGAAATTTATTTGTGACTATTTTCCCTGCATACAGCTATTAGAACATACATATTGTTTCACAATTTGTTTCTTTCATTCTTTGTCTTTATGATGTACTACAGTTTATTGTGTCATTATTTATTATTACTCCACTATTACTTTATTGATATTATTGATGCTGGAGTTGGAACCATGGCCTCACACGTGGTAAACATACATGCACGCAAACACTGAGTCATATCCGTGGGTCTACTCACTATATTAGTCATCCTCTGATGTATGGGTCCGGGATATACATGTCTCGTGGCATGGAAAACTATTTTCCCATGAGGGGATTCAAACTTGAACCCTTTCTGGAGCATTACCATCTGTATGTTATTAAATAGGAATTTGCACATAGTTTTCTTGCTCCCAGATGTATTTGTGGAAAGAAGAAAGTGAAGCTTTGAGATTGTAATGTATATTGTTAATTGTTCTCCCACTGGACCTACAAAGACCCTCTGAGGCAAAGTCATAGCTGTCTCCCTTTTACACCAAAGGAGAATTGTGACGTTATATTACAGAACTAATTTCCTGAAAAAAAAATGAAATATGTAGCCATGAGCTGTTTGAAACAAAGACTAGGAATCATTCTTTATATGGTGTCAACATAATGGTATTTAAAGCTCATTTTTACTGCATCATTTCTGTTCTAACATGGAAGATTGTGGGCCATCATTAACATTGCTGCCATCTCATAGAATGTGTCAGCAATATAGTTTGAACATTTTTTGTTTTTGTTTTGTTTTGGTTTTTGTTTTCCTTTTTTGTGCTGCTGGAGATCAAGCCCAGGTCCTTGTGCATGCTAGGCCAGTCTTCCAACCACCAAACTATTCTCAGTCCTGACTGCTGTTTTGTAAGTTGCTCACATCTGAAGCTGGGTCACTGAGTGTGGTAACTGTTGTGATTTAAGAAAAGCAGCGTGCCAGAGAAAGATGCCATGCAAAGGGGCATTTCAAGCAGAGGGGTTTTTTAAATTAGGGAAAGGGATCATAAAAAGGGGAAAGAGGAAGGGAGAGATCAGCCTCAGGATAGGAGCAGCAGGAGAGAGGAAAGAGGGGGCAGAGAGACAGAGACAGAGAGACAGAGAGAGAGACAGAGACAGAGAGACAGAGAGACAGAGACAGAGACAGAGAGACAGAGAGACAGAGACAGAGACAGAGAGGAGAGAAAGAAAGACAGAGAGAGGAGGATGTCCTTCTAAAAGGGAGCATAGTGAATAGGCACTGGTGGTTCTGTTAGTGGCAGCAGCTGAGGGTGTATCCTATCGGGATCCCACAGGCAGGCCATTACAGATACTTGAATACTAACAGTAACCGCTAGGTACATGTAGCTATTCACAATCCAATTTATCAGTTAAAGTAAAATAAATTTGTCTTCTCACTTCACCTGGCAGTTTGTGGCCATAAGAATAGTGCAAATTTATACTTCTCACAGGAAGCTGTGTAGAAGGCTAGTACAAAGTGACTTCACATGTCCTGTGTTCCCTGTGACACTCTGCAGAGCCACTGCAGCTCTTGTGGGGCTGTCAATCTGCATATGTTACAATTACTGCACCTGAGAATCTTCCCAGTAGTCATAGCTACTGCCTGGAGGACTTTCTGTTTGTGACATTTTAAGACCACCCTCTCACCTTGCTCAAAAACTAAAATTCAAGAGTTGAATACATAGTTTATTTTTTATTTACCTCATTTTCAACAGTAAGAGCATCTGTCCATCATTGAATTCTTGCTTTTGGGCATCAAGGAAGGAGGCTGTTGGTGCTAATCACATTCGAGGCTGTGTAATCACGTTGTTCTGTCTCAGTCTTTTAAAGATTCCTGCCACAAGTTCTACGAAGCAGAGATGGAGCAATTGGACTTTAAGGGTGAAACAGAGCAGTCCCGACAGCACATCAACACCTGGGTCACCAAGAAGACAGAAGGTGAAGGCAGCGTCCTTCTGTTCTGTTTGTTTTCAGAGCTGGGATTTGAATCCAGTGCTCTGAGCATGCTGAGTAGGCTCTCTATTACTGAGTTATCTCCTAGTCACTGTCAGCCAGTTTGTCTACTTTTAATAGTATTATTATCCTCTCATTCAGAAGAACACCAACTCTGAAGGGGAATGTCTCCTCATTTTTTAAGGTGATTGTCTTAGTTAGGGTTTCTATTGCTGTGAATATGAGCATGGCAACCCTTATAAAGGAAAACACGTAATTGGGGTGGCTTGCTTACAGTTCAGAGGTTTAGTTCATTATCATTATGGTGGAAAGCAAGACAGTCATGGTGCTAGAGCTGAGAGTCCTTATGTCTAGCTCCAAAGGCAACAGGAAGTAGACTGTCTTACCAAGTAGCTTGAGCATAGAAGACCTCAAATCCCACCACCAAAGTGACATACTTCCTCTAACAAGGCCATACCTCCCATTTGCCACTCCCTTTGGGGGCCATTGTTTTTTAAACTGCCACATTGATATTTCCTTTTTATTTTATGGTTTTTCCATGCTAGAAAACAACTCCAGGGCTTTGTACATGTCAGGAATCACTGCAGCTGTAAGCTGAGGCTTATGCTTGTAAGGAACACTGTATAGCTGCTCATCTACTTTTTAAAATCTAGTTTTAAAAACCTGACACAGAAAATTATGCATATGTGTGTGCCTCTGTGTTATCAACACATATAATCTTCTTCAGATGGGGGTTAATATATTTATTGATACAAATATGATTATGTGTATGTGTGTGCATGTGCAGGTCCACCTGTGTGCTCATGTATAGGTACATGTATGTTTCTGTATATATATAGTAGCCAGAGGACATTGGCTGTTATTTCTCAGGCACTGTCCATCTGGCCCTCATTTCATTTTGTTTTAAGACAAGGTCTCTCATTGGACTGGAACTCACCAAATAGGCTTTCCACTATCCATCTGAGTCTACCTCCAAAGTGTTGAGGTTACAAACATGCATGATCACATCTACTTGCTTATATTTGTTTGTTTACTTGAGTTCTTGGAATTGAACTCAGATCTTTGTACTTGCAAAAGCACACACTTTAGTGACTGAGCAATCTCCTTAGCCCTAGTTTTTAAATTTGAGCTTATATACAAACCATTTTTAAAGATTTACTTTTTAGTTATGTTTATGTACATGACTGTGTGTCTGTCTGAGTATGTTTGTCTGTGGGGATCGGAAGAGGGTATCAGTTTCGCTGTAGTTGGAGTCCCAGATATTTGGGAGTCCCTTGACATGGAAGCAGGGTCTTTTGCTAGAGCAGTGTGCCCTTTTAACATCTTAACCCCTGAGTCATTTTTCTAGCACCCTCCTCATTTTTTCAAAAGTCCTTTTCTAAGTTTAAGACATCAGCTGTCTCTTTCTAGCTCACCTGTTAAGGATTCACACTGAAGTTCTAGCATTAACTCAGACATTTTTTTGTATCTACTGGAACAATGATGGTTTTATTTCCTGAACATTTTCTCTTGTTTAACTTTTCCTTCTTCTCATAACTTTTGAAGAATGTCCCTTCTTCTTTGTGGTGTTGGTTGTGTTGATTTAAGGACAAATACTTGACGTATATTTAAGGGACAGTGAAATCCCTTAAATGTGTCCTTGGCCATTCAAGCAGGTGGCCCCTCTGCATGCATCAGCCAACTTTCTTAGCTAACTGGCTTTTTAATTTTTCCTTTCAGATAAAATTACAGAGTTGCTGATTCCAGGTGCAGTGAATTCAGACACTCTGCTGGTCCTGGTGAATGCCATCTACTTCAAAGGAAACTGGGAGAAACAGTTTAACAAAGAAGACACCCAGGAGATGCCTTTCAAAGTCACCATGGTGAGTGTTGAAGGTCCCCTGTTTACACTGGCCTGGAAAACACACAAGAAGACTGCCTCATGCATCCTGTGCTTCATATGGCTTTGGGTAGCTTGGTAAGGACTCCCTGGAAACCTTTGGGACTTTTCTCTCATCCTTTTCATCCCGTGTGGTACCACAGATCCTGCTTGCTCCTCAGTTTCTCTTCAGGACCTTGCTACTATGAATTGTTATGCCAGCATTGTTGTCTGCACAAATCTATGGCACTGTTCTCTGTTTACTTTAGTTGAGTTTTTGGTGTTTCTCAATTTTTGAGATCAAGTTCAAAATCTATACATGGTGTATAAGGCTCTTTGGGCCCCTGGATCTACCCACCATTCCTAATTCCCTTTATTTCCAGTGCTGTCCTCCTTAAAACTCCATCCATTATATACACTCGTTCTCCAAGCTGTCACCACACTCCTTGCTGGTCTACAAGACAACACAGTAGTCAACTGCTTTTGCCATCCTGCTGTAAAAACAATGAGGGAGACAATTGTTTTATAGTGGCTGGCTTATGATTAGTGCTCAGTACATACCAAATCAGTGAGTGAAATTCAGTTTGGGTTTGATGGAGAAGGTACAGATTTTTGCTTACAACAAGAAAACAAAGGCATGTATATGCAGGATAGACTTAACAACATCCACCTTGGAAGATATCACTTGATGATGGATCTCCTTTGTTGTTCTACTATCCTATCTGCATAGGACCTTAACTTTTTAACATATACTTAAAATTTTATTACATATGCATGAGTGTTTTGCCTGCATGCGTGTGTGTGCATTTGCCTTGGGCCCATTGTGGTCAGAAAGGATCCACTGGGGGCCCTAAAATGGATGGTTGTGAGCTAGCATATGGTTTTGGGGACTAAAAGTAGGTCCTCTGCAAGAGCAGCAAGTGCTCTTGGCTGGTGAGCCATCTCTCCATTCCAAGCTGGTCTCCTCATCATGCTCACACTGTGGGTTGGACCTTAATGTGATATGAACACGGAAAAGGACAGAGGGAGGAAGGATATCAGGAAGCCTCACCTTTGAGCTCCTGCCCTTTCATCCAGAGAGAAATCTTCCTAATACATTGTGTTCTATTTTCATTTCTTATCTCTTCAGTAGAGAAAGATGTGGCTGTGGGGTTGACTGCAACCCATATGTGTATGCTGCTGGTCTGTTGAATATTTTTTTCTTATTTTGGAATGAGTGAGTTTATTAAGTATGTCCAGCTAAAGTAAAAGAATAAAAAACAAGCAATAGACATAGATGGATGAATGGATGCATAGATGGATGGCTACCGTCAAATCAGGAATTCAAAACATCATGTATAAATTGATTGGGAAAGGCCCATTAGATACAACAGTCAGCTGGTATTCCCAAGAGAGAAAGCCCCAGGTAGAGCAGAGTATATGCTCTGATGAGGCCCCAAATAAAAGAACAAGAAACAGACAGGGAACATCAGCAAACCCAGAACTTACAGACACTCTACAAAGCAATGAGGATGGCCATGGGACAGCCAGCCAGAGCTCCCCACTGAACAAATAGAGTCCCAAATAGAACAGAATGTGCCCTCTATGAGGCTTTAAAGTGAAAGATTGAATAACAACAGCTGGACACAACACCATCAAATTGGGGCTTACAGCATCCAGTAGGAACCTACTGGAGAGTTGAGCCCCAATTGAGCTTTCTCTCCCTGACTGAGGTTCCCATGATGGAACTTGCAACTTTCCTTTCCCACTGTAGGTACTTTTACATCATGGAATAGCCACTAAAAACATGTTGGAAAAGGCTTACCTTTTAATTGTTCTCAAGGATACAGTGTTTATACTCTTGGACTTTTTTGCACTTCCTGTCAGAGTTGGGAGGAGAGAGACAGCTGATCCTAGACAAGGAGCCTAGGAGAACACTTGATATAGACACGTTTGATATGGAAACATGTGTGGAGGGGAGAGACAACCTCCCTTCCAGAGACAGTGGCTCAGGAAGCTCAACAGCATGTGGCAATTACCAGCTTAATGGACTTGTAATAGCGGGGGTAAAACCACAAGACTGTGCTGATACAGACTTTTACCTGTATTCCACATTGCCAAGTGGACAGGATTATAGACACAAATCTGTGAATCACTAAATTACTAAGATTGGGCCTTTTTATATTACATGATTGGATGCTTTGGGTACTGGAGAAATTGCCTAAGGCAGAGATCAACACCTTGTGGGTTATAGCCAAAAGCCAGCCCAGGCCCATTTTCCCAGACAGAGTTTCTTTAGGATTTAGGACGCACTCCTGCTTGTTATTGACAGATGTTGCAGCAGCAGACCAGTGCAGTTGTGACAGAAAGAATGTGGGCTACAGGATCAAGAATCCAAACACTCTGGTAAAGTGTCCAGGTTGCAGGCCAAGGACATGATTGAAGAGACAAGGAAGCTTCTTGGCTCAGGGCTGGTTCAGGCAGACATGACCTGGGGTAGACAGAACATGACAACAGAAATGTCCTTCATGTGCTCCACTTGATTCAGAATGTGCCAGAGATGTGGCTGTGAAGAGCCTTTTGCCGTGTTGGTCACAGGGCATTCAATAAATTCCACAGTCGTTTCCAGCATTAAACCATAAGAGCGGTCAGAAACCGAGAAAGATAGTTAGAGGTACAGTTGATTCTGGCTAAGGCTGGACTGGCAACAACTATAGTTTTGTTTTGTTTTCTAGTAAGGTGTTCGTTTTGCCTGGCCTCAATATTGCTGCTCGCTAGTTTGTCACCAATGTAGTCAGCAGGTCTGAATCGAGAGCCCGCTGTGTCCCAGGCATTAACTGGCTGAGTGTGCCCACACACATGAATTCTTTTTCCTGGGGCAGAGCAGTAAGAGACAAACATAGGTAAGAACACTGCGGTTAGTGTAAGGGCTCCAGAGACATACAATGGAGCTAGTAGGATGCTGTGCTTGCTGTTTACCAGCTTGCTTCCCCAGCTTGCTCAGACCACTTTCGTATAGACTCCAGGTCCACCAACCCAGGGATGGATCCACCCACAATGATCTGTCCCCTCCCCCATTGATGACTAATTTAAAAAAATGCCTAATAGCCAGATCCTATGGAGGCATTTCCTCAATTGAGGCTTTTTCTTATCTGATGCCTCTAGTTTGTGTCAAGTTGACCTCAAACTAGCTAGTACAGAGTGTGGTCATGGATGAAAGATGGCAAGGAAGCCTTCACTGGGAAGAAGGGGTGTGAGCAGCCACCAGGACATAAGGATCTCAGGTCCCATGCTCTGAGGACCAGTTTGTTAGGAAGAAGAGAAAGTAGTTTGCTATAAAGCCACAGACTGCCCCATGACTATGGTGGAACAGTGAAGCGAGGGTGGTACAGGGGAGGGACAACGGGAGCAGGAAAGCTCCTGTTGTGGTTCTAGGTTGTTGTAGGTTATCAGCTTTTGCTCCCACTAGAGTAGTGGTTCTCAACCTTCCCAATGCTACAACCCTTTAATACAGTTCCCCATGTTGTGGTTGAAAAGTTTCATACCCCAGTATTAAGTCTCTCTGCTGATACAATAAATCAGATCAGGCCAAATTAATAATGTAGGTTTAATGAGCAAAGCATTCCCGGGTGGTTCCAGGGGAAGAGGAGAAGTCACAAGGAGAACCACATGGAAGGTCTGGGAACCGAGTCTTAAATAGCCTATAGGTGTGGTCTTGAGTATCTCAGGGGGAGGAGCTGCTGATGGTGGGCTTTTGCCCTTGCTGTGGGGTCAGTCAACGGGACCCTAGGGGAGGGAATGAGAATGGGGGGGAGACAAGGCAGGATTCTGATCAAGCCTCGTTTATTAAAAGTACCAACAGAGCTTAAGTAGGGCAGGTAGAGAAGGGCAGGGAAGCAGAAGTTCTCCTTGGCAGAATATGTTCCAAGTACACAAATCTGCAGCTGGAGGAGTCTGAACTACAGGCCAGGAGGCAGAAGGGTGGGAGAGCCTGGACTGCAGACCTTGAAAATATGCTGTACAGGAAGATAAGCAGACACAGAGAAATAGAAACTTAATTAAGTGTTAGCATCTAAAAATACAGTAGGAATATTAAAATGGCTTTTATTATGCTATCCTTAATTAGGGTCCTCCACAGGCTTTCTTAGGGTCAGGGTCTGGAATGAGAGGAATGGGGTTGGGTGGAGCTTCCCACCATCGGTAACTACCAACCATATGATTTTTTGTTGCTATTTCATAACTGTAATTTTGCTACTGTTATGAATCACAGTGTAAATATCTAATATGTAGGATTTCTGGTCTGTGACCACTGTGGGGTAGCAACCCAGAGCTTGATAACTACTGCACTAGAGTATTGCCTTGCTGGGATGCTGAACCATTGCATTGTGCTGGGACCTCTGGCTACTGTGCTGAGGTCAGTGACAAGGATCATCACAGTACCCCAGGGCTGCACTGATGGAAGTGGAGGCTTAAAAAGAAGTCATATTTTGATCATATTTCAAAGGGATAGATGATATAATATGGTAATGAGGCAGATGCAGGGTATGAGAAAAGAATGATATCTGCATATCAGACATTCACATTATAATGTCAGATGTTCTTTGTTGTGTGAGATGATCAAAGAAAGAAGGTTACTCTAAGACAAACTTTAGACCTCGGCAGCAGGGAGGAACAGCCTCTGATGTATTGAACCTCAAACAGCCGTTCAAAGGCATATTTATTGATGGTTACACAAAGTTGATTTTGTCATAAACAAGTTCTTCATACCAAAGTCCCTGATCTAATCTATATGTTTTTCTGAAGGAAAGCATCACACCCCTGCCCCTTTAGTCTTTATTGTGTACTGTCTGCAGTGCCCAATAATCCAAGAGCTCCATTCCAGGTGTGCCAGGATGGTCTGTGACTAAAGTCATGCAAAGGCTGTAAAGCTGCTTTAGACAAACAACTCTATAAATCACAGAAAACAATCACTGTTTTCCACCATAATTTCCTCAAGGTCAAAGTACTTCTACAAAACAACACTTCATTCCGACATTAACCTTAGAATCAGTGAAAAATAACTATTCTGTTGTAGTGTTTACATTTGATACAATTACTCTGCTAGATCCCTACAACAAACAGGTTTTGTTTACTAGAAGGAGTATGAGGGCCAGTGTGGTAGTTTAAATAAGAGTGGCCTCCACAGACTCATACTTGAATATTTTGGGAGTGTCACTAAGAGGTGTGACCTTGTTGGAATAGGTGTGGACTTGACAGAGGAAGTGTGTCACTGTGGGGTTTCAAATACGCAAAAATACCGCAGTCAGGCCCAGTGGCTCTCTCTCTTCCTGTTGCCTGATGATCCAGATATAGAACTCTCCCCTTCTTCTACAGCACCATGTCTGCCTGCATACCTGCATGCTTCCTTTCATGATGATAGTGGACTATACTTCTAAACCTGTAAGACCCAAAACTGTATTCCTTTATAAGAGTTGCTGTGGTCATGGTGTCTCTTCACAGAAATAGAACACTGACTAAGACAGACAATAGTTGTAAGTGGATCAATTTGCCAAGGAAGGTATGGAGTTCATGGTTACATCTTAAGCTAGGGCTTTCTTTCTAAGTGAAAAACTCAAACAGGAAATAAAATGTATGCTTAGAGTCTTGGGGAGAAATCTGGGTTAAAACAGTGAATTTGGAAATTATGTTTAACGTCATGAGAATAAATGAGATTGTCAGTAGACAAGATTGTTGGCCCAGGACATCACACTTGTTTGGGGAAGGGGCCTGTCAACTCTCTGACACTGTATGGAGATAATCAACGTAAGAAGAGAAAAGGTTCATCTGACTCATTTTTAGGGATTCCAGATCCTGATGAGATGAATCCAGGGATTTAGGCCTATTATAGGGGTTCTGACTGGTGATGGTGGGATCAGGTGGGGAGCAAAATGGTTCATCTCAAGGCCAGAAAATGAAAGAAAGGAAAAAGAGGCCAGGGTCCTGCAATCCCTTTCAAGGGCACATCCCAATGACCTACACATCCCCTACCAGGCCCCACATCTTAAAGACTCTACTCCCTCCCAAAACTCTACTCTGAGGACCAAGCCGTAAAAAGTAGGCCTTTAAGGCACATGTAAGTTCTAAATTACTCCAGAGGTTGAGGGGCTGATGGAATGTTTTGGAAGTTTAGTCAGAGTTCTGCTCTGTTGTCCAAAGTATCCATTGTGTCTTGTTTTGACTTGACATTTATCCATCCTTCACAGAATGAGGAGAAACCTGTGCAAATGATGTTTAAGAAGTCTACTGTTAAGATGACCTACGTGGAAGAGATATCCACCACAATTCTGTTGCTTCCCTATGTCGGCAATGAGCTGAACATGGTCATCATGCTTCCAGATAAACACATTGACTTGAGAATGGTAAGGATCATGAGATCTTCATGGAGCTGTGAGAGAAAAATTGAGTGGCATTTGAGTTTCTTCTGGGGCAGCCTTCCTAGGCTCCCATGATCTTGTTCTTATCTCCCATTCATTTGTGAGGTTGGGGTAGAACCCAGGACCTAGAGCATGCTTGACAAACACTCACCACCGAGATGCACCCTAGCCCCTCCCAGCTGCCATATTACCCTACATTCACACATCCCTCAGTAGTTAGAGCCTCCACATAATCTCAAGTGCCCTGTGTGACAATATTGTTATGAAGTCTTGAACTCTCTTCTAGGTGGAAAAGGAGATAACTTATGAAAAATTCACAGAGTGGACGAGGCTGGATAAGATGGATGAAGAGGAGGTGGAGGTTTTCCTCCCACGGTTTAAACTGGAAGAGAATTATGACATGAAGAATGTCCTATGCAAGCTGGGCATGACTGATGCCTTTGAGGACAGGGCAGACTTTTCGGGAATGTCTTCCAGGCAAGGCTTGTGTCTGTCTAAGGTTGTGCACAAGTCCTTTGTGGAGGTCAACGAGGAGGGCACAGAGGCTGCGGCTGCCACCACCAATGTAGTTTTTAAGTGTATGTCCCCCTACTTCTGTGCCGACCACCCCTTCCTTTTCTTCATCCAGCACTGCAAGACCAAGGGGATTGTGTTCTGTGGCCGGTTCTCCTCCCCTTGAGAAAGGGTGCTCCTGTGTCAGCCCACGGCCTTGGCCCAGACCCTCTCCCGCGATCCATGATTTGTCTGTGGATTAATAAATGTTGAGACAAGCCTGTGCTTTGTGGCACACATCTGTAAATCCAGCACTTAGCTGATAAAGTTGAAACAATCTGAATTCAAGCAAGGTCAGCCTTAGCAAATTCTAAACAAGCCCGGTCTGCACTAGACCATTTAAAAAACGAAACCAAAACAAATCCAAATGAAATGAAAAGGGAACACCTAGAATCTGGACCCTTTATTTTAAAAAAAAAAAAGTGATTAGTTCAGGGTTCTGAAAGCTGCAGAACATAGTTGGGGCTTCTGTACCGCTCTAGTGATGCCCCTGGCATGTGACTAACAAGTCATTCTCACAGCACTAACCCAGTCCCTTTACACCTACATTAATCCTTCCCTAAACCATGACATTTGTGACCAAGGTGATTTTACTACCACATGGGAGACTACACCTCAGCCTGTGTACCCTCAGGATAAACAATATCCAAGTCAGCACCTTTCATCCTCTCTGTAGTAGTCCTGTGTTTTAATTATGTTTTTTGGTTAGTTAGATATTTATTTTTTCAGTACTGGATATTTACCATGGGACCTTACACATACTAGGCATGTGCTCAACACTTAACTATCTACAACCCCCTTTAAAAATGTTTTCTTTCCTTGAGAAAGGGTCTCACTGAGTTCCCCAGGCTGGCCTTAAACTCTTTCTGTAGTACATCTTAAATTTAAGACCTTTCTACCTCAGCCCCATGTGTAGCTAGGATGACAGGTGTTTGCCACCATGTCTAATGTTTTGGTATTTTGTAAAACATTTGGGACAAGGGGATTCTGGGTAGAGTGACTAGTTTACAAGGCAATTCAACTTCAGGGAATGCCTTTGAGATCTACAAGCCTGAGGTCCACTCCCCAAGGCTTTCTAACAGTCCCCAATAGTCTTCTGATGTACTTGGTTGAGCACTCAGGCCTGAGGAAGGAGGGCAGCCCCAAGCACCTGCTGCCCAAGCTTGAGGCAGCCTTCAGTTGTAACTCTACTCCTATCTGGTGTTTTGTTTGTTTGTATGTTTTTTCTTTTTTTTACTTCTACCACCCCCCACATTTAGAGGATTCCTGGCACATAAGCTAATTGGTGCTAAGTTAACTACCTGGCAGCAGACCCTTCCTCTTGTCCCACCCCACACGCTGCACTCAGGTCTAAAAAAATTCTGTAGCAGCAAGGGATTCCCTTTGTTCCAGAGGACTGAAGGCTTTTTCCGTTTAGAACCCCATCACACACACACACACACACACACACACACAACACACACACACACACATACACACACACCACTATCTTTCTGTGTATGTGTGTGTGCCTCTGATGTAATGCTAATTACTCCCCTATAAACCTCTCAAATGAAGGATGACCTGTTCCATTGCTTTCGTTTGAACCTACAAATATCCCTTCAACCCTCACCTTGAAATTATATAACAGCCAAACTATATTGCATATGTCTTCTTGGCTCCCACTCTTCAGGTATTTGCATCTGGGACACAGGGCAAATTTTGCAGTCAAATTGAAACTGCATTTAAATTCTCACAAGGACTCTGAGTGTGGTAATCCGGCACAAACCACCTAGACTGTGCAGAGAAACACTTTAACTCCTTACTGCTATTGTTTGGATATGGACTGTTCCTCAAGGGCCCATGTGTTAAAGATTTAGTCTCAAACAAGGCTCCTGTGGGAGGTATTAAAACATTTAGGAGGTGAGACCTAGTAGAAGAAACTTAGATAACCTGGGCATGCACTTGGAATGATGGTTCACCTTGCCTTTTTTTCCCCTGAGCTCTTTCTCCCTATTCTCTCCCCCTGAGATGAGCAGCTTTCTCTACCTTGTGTTGCATCATGATTATCTGTTCAAACTTATCATAGACTGAGACCTCTAAACCATGAATCAGAATAAACTTTCTTCCTTATAAGGTGGCTGCCTCAGGTATTTCATTACTGTGATAGGCTGCTAACTAATGCACTTATATACAGTAAGCCCGGCCTTGACAATCCAAGGATCACATAAAAGTGTGAGTTTATCCCAGGAACATAAAAGTGATTCAACATGATGAAATCAATATCATATTTCTGTTTTATAGAACAAAAGCTCAAATCATTTGGTTAGCTTAACTGATGCCAAAATAGCTTTCTTGCCCTAAAGAACTCTTGGGTTGACACACACACACACACACACACACACACACACACACACACACCTTACCTTAATTAAGTAGGAGCTCTTCCTACTTAGTAGGAAGCTCCTAAAGTAGGAGCTGCTTTACCCACTTGTGTTCCTCCAATGAGACAGTGGTGACATTCCGTTAAGATTTCCCAAGGTAGGACCTTCACACACCCCTGACACATCAAGGATGACCCCCAGGATTTGCTTCTGGTGCTCCCACTTGAGTTCCTACATCCATCTCCAGTTCCTGGGTGATCTTTCTCTTTCTCCAAGCAGGGCAGAATAGACTTTGGAGTTTGTGACACACGGGTTCAAACTGCATCTTGACTTTTTGATCATCTGCACAGGTGCCTATATTTCAGAGCTGTGTGCTGATGAACTTGGCATCTTCAGCTTTATCTGAAGAAATGAAACAATAAAAGCCCATCTGGACTCGATTTCAGCAGTACTGCACAATACGTAGGGTTGTACCATCAATATCTTTAGAAAGCCTGTGGTGTGATTCTTATACTGGAAGACTTTCAAAGGAGGTAGATTGCACCTGATTTAGACTTAAGAGCAGTGCAGAGGGAGAAAGAGAGCAGAGAGGGAGGAGAGATGAGCCAGGTTGCATAGGGCTAATGGTAAACACTGGGAGAGGGAAGAGATGGAGATGGAAGGTAGGTGCGGAGAAAGTGAAGATTTGCTGTTCTGCACAAGACTAGCCAGGAGGGCAGCTAGTGACACCAATATTCAGCTGCATTTTCTTCTGTCACAGATGACTGAGTTCCACGTGGTCTACCCTTATTGATTCCTCTCCAGAGGCCCACTGGCTTTCCTCTCATATTTTGGCCTTTTTAACTAAAAAAAAAAACCAGAACCATCTTTCATGTTGGAGATTAAGCTCACTGATTGTTAGCCTGACTTGTGCAAGGCACTGAGTCTGAACACGAGCCTGGCTTGTGCAAGGCACTGAGTCTGAACACGATCCTGGCTTGTGCAAGGCACTGAGTTTGAACTGTAGCACTGCAACAAACATCCCCCTCCCCAAATCTTTTACTTTTCTTCTTCGCCAGCCTCACTGTTGAACCTTGAAACCCGTTTCTGCACTCTGTTGATCTTAAAGCACATGTCTCCCATGCTCTGCAGCTGTGCTCCTGACCTACATACACCTTTCCAGGGCCCCAGGAAGTTCTCAAATGATGGAATTCCCCAGGAATGAGGGGTCTCTTCTCATAGCTCTCCATCGCCACAGCCCCCAAGAAATTCCTTTCACTCTCATTGAAGCACATGGAACAGAGATGCTAACAGGTCTCAGGGTCTGTTCTCTAGGACCGAGTTCCTTCTTACCTTTGTACATACCATGGTCACCTTTGGATTCAGGTTCAACTGGGATGCCTGTGGATCTCTGATGGGAGTTCTCCTTAGTCGCCGGAAGTCATTTTCCTCATGCATATTTCTGGATGGTTCATGGTACACTCTAATTATGAATATAGCCTGGAGCTGATATTAAGGTTTTATGCCCTTGCCTGCTAATATGATGTGACAGGTTATTGGCTAAGAAATCTCTTGTGACCATGTTATAGCCAAAACAGATTTGTAACTGGGATAAGTTAGTTTGTGATGTCCATCACAACAGAAGCAGTGAGCAGAGAGAGAGACCAAATTTTTACACTTTGCTTTATTCAGAGAGCCAATTATCTGAGAAGCCAAGGAGGAAACATGGCTTCATTAAGACACATCCTGCTAGAACTTTTCCCATTCATTTTATGTGTATAAATTTATTTTGCCTGAATATATGTTTGTGTATCATGTGCATTCAGTGCCCAAGGAAGCCAGAGGAAGGCATCAGATCCACTGGACTGAAGTTCCAGACAGAGGGAGGGCATCAGCTCCACTGGACTGAAGTTACAGACAGCCATGTGGGTGCTGGTGACTGAACCTGGCCCTCTGCAAGAACTACCAGTATTTTTAACCTATGAGCCATCCCTCCAGACCCTATTCTTAGGCATTTCCCCTTATTATCATCTCTGTTTGTGTAGTGAGAGAGTTCACATTCACTAAGACTATGGAGTCTCACATATCCCCCTGGGTCACCTTCTGATTACATCCAGATTAACTGAGAACAGCAAACTGTTAGTAATATGTACAGACTGAGCTCCTTACATTACGTGCAGACAGCTTCATTTTTATGTCATGTAATGAGTGCTCTTTTAATATAGAATATAAGCTGCCTCTGTTCCTTTCTAAAACACAAAATACAAATGCTCTCTTAAAACAGAGTGTAAAACACCCCCAGTCTGTCACAGATGGATAATTCCCATTTAATGAATAAGAAAAAATTCATAGGCTTTATGACTTTTGTTGGCTATAATTTACCAAGTGTCTTAGTTTCTTTCCTTTTTCTGTGATGCATTACCCAGACAAGAATGATGAAGAGTATGTTTTCAACTCATACTTCCTGGTTACAGTCCATCTTAGCATGTGGGTTCTCAAGTCAGATGATGGATGGTAGAGCATTGTTCATACCCTGGCCATGACTCAGAGAGCACGGCTTCTTTAAAAATTTATTTATTTATTTTGCTATGTGTTTACTATAACCTTTATAGAGAAAAATTTGCTTTCACAGTGCATATTTACAATAGTTCCCAATTGGGAACTAACTTCTCAGCAAACCACTGTGGAGGGTTGTCTTCTCCATCAAAAGGTGATACCATTCATGGGCATGCTGCTTCCTCACGTCCTTCATTTCAAACTTGTACAATCAACTTGTTGTAGTCTGAATGGTCTAATGAGTGTGTTTTCTGCGTGGTTTGTTAGTAGCTGCACCAGCATTGCATCCTTGGAGAATGATAGAGGCTCAAAAGTCTGAA